TCCCCTTTCTATTTTCCCTTAGTGTTGCCCTTAGCGGTGATACAAAGGAGAGCTAGTGCCTCGTTTTAGCCGAGACATAAGCTTTACACCTCTGAGATCCCACGCGGATCGACGGGGTTCAGAGTTTCTAAAATCCCCCCGCGGATAGACGAAACTCTGCCCGATTTTATCGGACCATATCTGAGTGCCCCGGTGGTCCACGGATATCAACATCCCCGTCACAGGCAAAAGACCCACGCAAGCAAGAGATGATGAACAGATCTTGCGTTTGTTTGAAAAGAGTTGTATCTATTTTGTTTTCATTGTGTACCGGTCTTATAAAAAGGCTATCTTTTTATTTCATTGTAACGATTGAAGTTGTAATGAATGCAGCAATGAATACAGCAACTTTTTCCGCAAACAATAATAGGTAAGGATGGTGAAAAATCGAATCAATTTGAATACTACATACTATTTATATTTGTTTACCATTATTGAATTTGAGAGCAAAGTTTAATATTTACTTCTCCCTAATAATAGGAGAGGAAGATATCCTCAGCATGGTGTCGGAGCTTCACCCGGTATAAGCATTAGATCGTCCACAGCATTCTCCACACCATCTACGTCGATGAGAGCAGCCACAAGCAGTTTCCAGGCTATGCCATTTGTCGCACGTATCTCTGTGTATTTGATTGATAAGATTGACCAGGAGCTGCATATTCAGGTGACTAATGAGATGACTAGAGTTGCGCTGACGGCGAACTCGATGGACGATCTCATGGGGTATGTTATACAATATTTAGGTGGTGCTATTCCTTATAGCGCGTATGGTGGTGTCATACAGATCATTAGCTCGATTGGCGATAATTCCGGCGCTAGACAGAGTAGTGCTCAGGTACTTTATTTTTTCTTATATTTATAAATTTATTTTTATCTAATATGTTATCAAACACCACATAATGATTATTCAATTAAACATTCAGAGTGGAGATATTGGAGGGAGCAGCACCCGTTCTCGTAATCGGGATAGAGATACCCCCGCCGACGACGATGGATGAGGTTTTTTTTATTTTAATGCAATAAACAGTTTTATTTGTTATAACACTATATTTATTCATGTCGTGTATCCTATATTAGTCATGTGCATTGTTAGTATATATGTTGTTGGATGTGTTTTAGACGGAACTGATTGATGTATATTTTGAAGTGGATGGTTGGATTTGTACAATGTGTTGGATTTGGTTATATAGATGTTTTTGAATGTAATTGTTATGAATTTTGATTATAATTGGATGGTTGAATGTGGCGTGTACAGTATTTTCTGGATGTATTCAAATATTAATGTAATTGTACAGGAAAATATAAAGTTTAATTAATTTTTTTTTCTGAAAAAAGGCAATCTAGACGGAATTCCATCTAGGTTGAATCTTCCTAGACGGAGTTCCGTCTAGGTTGTAAAAAACCAACCTAGACGGAATTTTCGTCTAGTTTGACAGACCAGACGGAATTCCGTCTGGTCCGTCAAACTAGACGGAATTCGTATTCCGTCTAGGTTGTCTTCCGTCTAGATTGATCAACCTAGACGGAATTCCGTCTAGATTGATCAACCTAGACGGAATTCCGTCTAGTTTGCTTCAATCTAGACGGAAGCAAAATAAACCACCCAAACTAGACGAAATTCCGTCTAGTTGATCTAATCTAGACGGAATTTGAATCAACCTAGACAGAAATTTCCGTCTAGGTTGATCGTTTTTCTACTAGTGTCTCTATGACATCGGTCAACATTAAAGAAAGTTTTTTAAAAGCAACAAAATTAAACACAGTGTCGATCCCTCTTCTGTCAAGCAATTCCTGGTAGATGCCAATGCACCAGATGCTCGTAAGATTATTAAAAAAGAAACAAAGAGCCTTACACCTTCTATAATAATTCCATGCATGTTTAAACTATATTATTTTAACAAGCGACTGTCATTAGGGCTATACTTCCTTCATTCCTGTGGACCAGTTCCGTTGGTGGAGTTAATTATTTATGCAGACACAGCAGAATAGGAGAGGAGGGGAGGGTGGGGAGATCAGGGATGGAGTTGGAGGGGGAAGGGGAGGGGAGGAGAGGGGAATGGGAGGGGAGGAGGACGTCGACGATGAGGTGAGGGAGAGGATGGGGTGATTTTTTTGATAATTTTGGGCATATATTTAATAATTTTGGGATGTAGGAGGTTAAAATAAATTTTCTTGCCGGAATTTTAGAAAAAGGGTCTTATTGACAAAAAATACGAACTTTAATGCATTGTTGTCGCCGGAGTTTTTAAAATACCAAATTGGCAAATACGTTCGTATAAATATACCAATTTGGTATTTTAGCCCTATGGTAACTAAGTATCATGTGTATATTTTTTGTCCATTATAGTAATTTTTCTCATCTTATCTAGTTTATTATATATCGCAATGTAGTTGATCAATGGTTTCACTTTTGTTTCTATTGCAAGATTATTTATATAAAATTATATATTAAGTTTATGATTCCTTCAATATTGTTAGAATAAAGTATGAAAATTTATAAGTACTTACTAATTTTTCTTGTACTTTTCATGAATAATGTTTTTTAATTAGGACATAATTATTCAATATGTTCTTCAAGGAGAACTCGGTTAGTGCTTCTTTGCTTGATATGCTTTTTATCAATGTCAATTCAGACGATTCATGAATGTTTCTGAATTTTGAGTTTATTTCTTTCACTTCTTTATTTGAAATAAAAACAACTTAGTTCTTTTAAATGATATATCTAAACTTTCTGATAGTTTCTCCATAAATAACTCATTGTATTTTTTTACTTTATAAATAAATATTATCAACATTAGAGGTAAATGTCTATACATTATAATCAATTAATGCTAATCTATTATATCTTAATGTAATAATATCAAACATTTCCTCTTTTCTTTGCCAAATTTTAGCTTTTTTGTGATTTGAACTTTTGAGGGTGTGTTTTGCAATTTTTAAACTTTGATAGTATTTTATAAAAATTTTAAATTTTAAGTTGGGCGTTTATAACTTTCATGTTTCATGTATTGGTGATAAGTTTTTAAATGTTAGAATATTTCTCGTAACTCTAAAAATTTAAAGGTATTTTTATAATTACTAAAATTTTGGGTTTGTTTTTTAAAAATTTTAATTTTTTAGCAATCTGCTGATAATTTCTAAATTTGATGTGTATCAATTATAAATTTTAAAATTTTAGAATTTTTTAATAATTTTTTACTTTTGAGAGAGTTTTTATAATTTTTGTAACTTTGAGGTTATTTTTTTTACTAATTTTAAATTTTTGTGTGCCTAATGGTAATCCCTGAAATCCATCTATGTTGTTTCTAAGTTTTGAAATCTCTGAATTTTAGAATATTTTTTTTGTAATTTAAACATGGCTAAATGGCACTTATATACCCTATTGTTTTGCTCTTGTAGTAGTTATATACCCTAAGTTACAAAACATAGCAAAAAAATACTCTGAGTTGGGAACTGGGGGGTAGGTAATACAGTAAATGATACAATAAATGAAGGTAAGAAGTATTCAAGTTGGTCATAGGTACCAACTTGCAAAATTTTACCAACTCAGGGTATTTTTTGCTATATTTTGTAACTTAGGGTATATAACTGCTTCAAGAGCGAAACACATAGGGTATATATATGTAATTTATCTTTTAAACTTTTGAGGTTGTTTCTAAAAATTTTAAAATGTTGAGGGTGTTAATTACAAGTTTTAAATTTTAAGATATCATGTTTGTTTTTAAGTTTTAAAAAGTCAAGGTGCTTTGTGTAATTTTAAACTTTTAAGGCTATTATATACAATTTTTGAAACTTTTGGGTTTTTTAATAGTATTTCATGTATTATAATATGTTATCTACATATAATTTCTTAATCTTATTTTTAGTATATTTTTGAGCTATAGGTAGCTCATATGGAGTTTATATAGGATATAATTAGTATTTGGATAAATTAAGGTTTAAGTGAAATATTCAAAATAACTTTTTTTTTAAATTGTTGACCTATAGATAGTTCACGTGGAATTAGATAAGATATGATTAAGATTAGAATAGATTAGGATAACAATGTAATATTCAAAAAAAATTAAAGGTAATACCGACCATAAAAAGATTTTTCCCGAACTCGTGCTTTTAAAGGGAGTATATATATATATATATATATATATATATATATATATATATATATATATACTTGTAATTATGTTTTATAATATTAATTCAAGAAACTTGTTTTATATGGATGGGACATTTATTGAACCTTTCATATTTTTTCTCTGCATTCAAATTATTAACATTAAGAAAACTAACATTTCTTGTAATTATGTTTTATAATATTAATTCAAGAAACTTGTTTTATATGGATGGGACATTTATTGAACCTTTCATATTTTTTCTCTGCATTCAAATTATTAACATTAAGAAAACTAACATTTCTTGTAATTATGTTTTATAATATTAATTCAAGAAACTTGTTTTATATGGATGGGACATTTATTGAACCTTTCATATTTTTTCTCTGCATTCAAATTATTAACATTAAGAAAACTAACATTTCTTGTAATTATGTTTTATAATATTAATTCAAGAAATATGCTTTATATGGATGGGACATTTATTGAACCTTTCATATTTTTTTCTCTGCATTCAAATTATTAACATGCTATACTCAACTTGCGGACGTAGTGGATCTGAAGCCCAACTAATCACCAACAAACATTCAAAACCAACGCACCTCTGTCCGTACAAAAACTTTCATTGATTTTGTTAGTGATCCATATGCTAGAGAGAGGCCACTCTCAAAACAAATTTTGTTTATGAGCGTGTACATAGAACTAGTTCACCTTAGGATAACGTTTGTAGCAGAGATGCACTAAAATTGATAGCGCAACTCAATCACCCCAACAAAGTGCTTGTGGGGAAGCATCTTCCAAACGCAAGGCCATACAGAAATTTAAAAAGAATCTACATACACATACATGAGATTTGAAAACAGTCGAAAGAATTTACATACACATATATGAGATTAGAAACAGTTGCAATAATTATAAAATAATAAATAAACAAATAAAAAATGATACCCAAAAAAGAAACTAAAAACCAAACCGAGATAACTAAAACAAACAAATCCGAAAGCCAAAGCTACCCAAAAAAACACCTAGCGAGCTGGATGACCTCGGCCATGGTGGTGACTCTCCTGACGTCAATAGCACGAAACTTGGTATCCTCAAAACAGACCCAACAAAGTAAGCAATACTGTGACTACCGAGCTTTGGAAGAGCAAGAGCAAGTGAGTTCCGAAATTCTGGGCGATTTCTCCAACGAGTCTCTAGAAGGGAGCTTCCCGATGAAAGCTCTGTACCTCCTTTTAATATTTCCTTATCTCTTGCTGTGCCTGTGTTTCCTGAACTCAGAAGGCAATCCCGGCTGCATTTTCTCATGGCTATTGTCAAGGTAGCGGAGATATTGGAACAGTGCAAGCTGAAAACAAGAGACCTTCAAAAAACATTGACAGAAAGCTGCAAAGACGACTCGGCTCAAACTTCCCTAGTGATCGTAGCTCCTGGCTTTCTTTGCAGTTAAAAAATAGTGAATTTTAATGTCAGATTAGAAATATCACAGCATTCACATGCCAAATAATTAGTTGGACCTCTAAAAGTAGCAGGTTTCGGCGATCCATCTGACCACTCCCTTGCATATTGCCATAAGAAAACGAACCAGTCCTTTTGAATTAAACATATTTGTTTTCTGGCTAGAATTGTTGCATCTTAAGGCCAACAGCTGCAAGTTGGGTATTCAATTCAATAGTGGAGGAACCAATATGTGATATACTGAGACATTTAAGTTTCATCTGAAGTCTCACCATCCAATACCAAGAAAATCCAAAGAAGCATAAAGTAAGAAGCTGAATCTGAGAATTAAAGCTTCTAAGCTATTCCAAAACTTTGGATCAAGAAACCCATATACCAACTTCTATGGCTGCCCAAAAAAGTATCCGCTTTTATCTTTCAGAAAGAATCTGGTTAGTCAATGATTGTTCAGTCTGATCAGAAAAATTAACTACGCAAGTTGGGTAACCATATAATTCTAACTATAATTGTGTCATAAGCGCACTATTCTCAACTAACTAATGGGAACTGAAAACATCCATATATATCAGGTTTCCTTCTTAAATAAAGCTCTGCTTAGTACTCACTTGAAACACAAATAATTAGAAACTGCAAATACAATTAAATTCTAGTTGCATTGAAGCAAAGTGAAAACATCAGTTAAATCATAATCACAACCATCCCGTCACCTAGTTTAAGCTGGCAGTCTGGTACTGATCAAATAGAGGCTAAAAAGGGAAATCAATTTCTCTAACACAAAAGTAGTAGGAGCTTAATAATAATGATCTTGGTAGTGAATAGAACAAAAAAACATCTCCAATTAAAGTGACAACCATGGAAGGAGCATGTTCAAAAATCAGTTTATTCAACGGAAAAAAAAATTTTGTAAACAATAAAGTTACTGAAAATTTTAAAGGCAAAACTACACAAAATAGCTAAATCATAGATATTATAATAAAAAAATTGTAAACTATAAAGGTTCATGAAGCCAAACTCAAAAAATTGGAATATAGGAACCGTTGTTCTTTTTTTCTTGATTGCAGATATCATAAGCACTGTTTTAAATATCGGCCGATAATCGATATTATCGGCCGAGTTATCGGATTTGGGAGTTCTCCGCTAGGATAAATTGGATTTTAAATCGGTTATCGTTTTTGTAGGTTTATCGGAGATTTATCGGCGTTATCGGCACTTATCGGCCGATAAGTAAGACTTTTTTATCGGGATTATCGGGATTATCGGTCCATTTTGACTAACATTATATTTTTTCAAGGCTATGATGCAAGTTTCACTTTCTACAATTTGTTAGTGATTCTACACATGATGATTTATATTTTGGTATGTTTATATTTCATTAAGCATGATTAGATTATATTTTTTAATTGTTATATTATATATACACATCATCCAGTATATTACTCCGATAAATACTACTTATCCCCGATATATCCCCGATTTCCGCTATCCGATAAGGATTTTGGCCGTCCGCTAAATCCCCGATAACCGATATTTAAAACATTGATCATAAGTAACAGTCATGAAACCTAAAACTTATCAACAACCAAACAAGATAGCAATTTTTTTGGGTTTCGTCATATTATGCCCTAATCGTTCATACATTGACATTAGTCCCACAAATCATTCTAAAACTTAACAACAACGAGAATAAGATAGCAATTATTTTTTCATATGATACCTTAAAATCGTTCATGTTTTGATATTAGGCCTTCAAATCTTTATATATTTAGTTTACATCCCCAAAACCTTTAAGCTGTTAAAAATTGCACCCATGGTTAGTTCTCACTACAGCTTTAAAGTATATTCCGCTAAATTATATATATTTTACTATTCAGATCATACCTTATCGAATGTACCCAATCTTAACAATCATTAACCTATTCCTCTCCTCTCTTCAATGGTTACATCTTACCTCCCTTTCTTCTCCTTAAGCTCATTAACCTTTCCATTAAATCTTCATCCAAAACTTTGACGAATCACTCTAATAACCACACAGCCTATACATTTTGTGTTTTTTCAATGAATCTTTTTTTTTTATCTATCACCCTCTCCGCATACTACCACCACACCCTCCCTCCCTCCCTCATTGAATGTTAGACCCCTACAATAGTTATAAATTATCTGATATGACTAACTTTTAATTTAACCCTAACCAAGTCATAAAATTTTCAAAGAAAGTAATTTTTCATGGAATTTGAATAGAGGGTGCAATTAACAACTAATAAAAGGATTTCAGAGTGTAAAGTTAAAAGTATAAAGATTTGGGGTTCTCATATCAACATATGAAAGATTTTGGGATCCAATATGAAAAAGATTAGATATGTTTGTGACAAATAAGATAAAAGAATACTCTGAAGAAAGTTGGTACCATCCTTAATTGACCCCATGAAGATTGTAGCTCATAAAAAAACAGAACAACCTACCCGAAAAATAATTAAAATCTCCATGAAATCAAGAAGAAAGTTGGAGTTTTTATCAAAAAGATGAATTTTTTATTAAAAAATGTAATTATTAAACCAAAATGACAGAGGAGAAAATCAAACAAAATGATTTCAGAATTTCTTTCAAATCAAGAAAAACGATAGAATATTTGTTAAAAAAGATGAACTTTTTATCCAAAATAATAATAATACTAATAAAAGTAAAAAAAATGGAATTCTTAGAGTGAGAAGAAGATCAAACCCTACAGCGTCGGCGCTTAAAGACGGGGCCGGAGCGATCCCTTAAGTCTTCAAGCATCCCTCGAAGCTGAGTGGAAAACCGATTCCCCTCTGAAACCATAAACAAAATCTCATCCTCGCATTTCGAACAACAATGCAGAGGGATTATTTCGAGAACCCGAATCTTTATTTGCTCCATGAATTCGTTCATCTGCAGGAGCGAATCTCTCAGAGCTACACTCTTCGCCTCATCGGATAACTCCTCAAAACCCGGGCGAAATGGAGGAAGATTGTGGATGGGGATCGAGGAGAGAGGATGAAGACAACAGTAGGAAGCCATTACTAGGGTTTCTTCGAGAGCCGAGAAAGCTAGGGTTTTTTATTTTCTTTTCTGATCGAGAGAGAGAGGAGGAGGAGACAATGGCGGCGGAGGGCTTCCGCTTGCTTCCGCTTTAGTTTTAATAAATAGGAATTCAACGGGCCGGTCGGTTCCCGTAATTAGGTTAATACCCAGTTTGACGGTTATTTACACTTAAGTACTCTAAAGTGTACACAATGCTCAACTCCGACACACCAAAGCTTTTTGGCCTTAAAAACTTTTTAGCTTTGACAACCCTGTTATTCAAAGTTAGGTGTTTTCTTCCCAAACTTTGGGTTAGAGTGGGGCATGGGCCGATTCAAACCTTGGGCCGAATCAGCCCAGCCCGATTCGAGTCAAAGCTCAAATTGGCCCACTTCAGGGCAGTCTCAACTTGGCCCATACTGGATGTGGTCATTAGTAGGACTGGGTTTTGAACTAGGTCTAGGACCAAAAAGGCAAGCCTGACCCATTATAGACCCGACCCACTAGTGGTCCGGCTCAGCTTAGGTCAATTATGAATGTTGAATTTCTTTCAACTTTAAGGGTTAACATATTTTGTTTCTTTTTTTCCCTTTTGTATTTGTAATTTAAATTTAAACTAAAGGAAAGTTATTAACTTCTCGTGCATATAGATCTTCCTATAAAGTCTGAACAACGTATATATGTGTGTTTGCGATGTTTTTTGTGTGTGATGTCTATCTTATGTGTGTATGTGGGTGAAATTAGAAAAAAATAAATTAAATATAATAGATATATGTTTAATATATTTTTAATTGGAAAAATAAGGTCATTGGTTGGTTCCTGGCACGCGGCTCGGCACCCTAGGGGGATCGTGGATCGAGCTAGGTGCAGTCCAGACTCCCTGAGACCGGAGAAGAGAGTGGGCTCTGCTCACTGAATGATTCCGAGCGGACACAACCATATCCCAGCGGGCCAAGTCACGGGCCTAAACCGACCTGACCCACGCCCATGCCTACTACTTCGATATTTTTTAAGAAAAGTTTAGGATATAAAAGTTAGAATTAGATTAACTTTCTTCTGACCCGCCTACTACTACCCTGCCAGTGGTTGAAATTTGAAGTTTTTTTTCTTTTTTTTTCTTTTCTTTTTTTTGGGGTGGGGTGGGGTGGGGTGGGGGGGGGTTGACAGCCCTTCAGGATATCTAAGAAGTGGTAACGGTTAAGGGTTTTGTTAAATACAACTAGTATTTCTTATGCACACTCTGCTTGTATACACAATACAACTTTAAGGTTAATTTTTTTCTTTTGAGAAGTTGGAGGAATGGATGAGTGAGTGGGATAATAAAGATAGTCATTGTTGATTATTAGGTGTAGTTATGAAGAATATGGGATAAATGGAGTTAAAATTATAGTCTTTTGAGATTTCTAAATTTATAATCTTGATGATTATTAATTATATTGATGCGGCATAAATATGTACCAAAATGTTGCAAGTGCACAACCGTGTCAAGTTATAGTATAAAGATATCGGTCCACGAGGAAGGTGTTTTGTAGGAGAAAATATAAAATCGGTTCTTATGTTGTGTGTGTGACAAATAGGAGTGATAAGTGAATGTGTTAGTGGAGAGATAGAGAGAATGAAAATGATTGTGTAAATGAATATATTTGAGAGTGGAAGTGATAATATAAATGTGATCAACAATGCAAGAAGGAAAAATCAAGAATAAATAAAAATCAAGAATGTAAAGATAGCGGATTCAATTAAAGATATGGGTAATCTAGAATTGAATCCACTTCTTAGAAAAAGGTGATTCTCTAGAGGGTTCTAGCCTAAAGGCGAATCAAAGAAAATGAAAATAAACAAAAAGAAAAACTAAACCCAAGAGGGTTCTAGCCTCAAGGTGAATAGTGCAAGAAATTAAAATCTAACTATAAAATAAATTACAAAATCTAAACTATAAAATAAATTGTAAGAATTAAATGCAAGAAAATAAATCTACTCTATAAGCATGAAATAAATCTAATCTATAAGCATGAAATAAATCTAAGACAAGAGGGTTCTAGCCTCTTGGCTATTTAAACAAGAAAATAAAATCTAATTACAAGCATGAAAATAAATCTAAACTAATAAGCAATAAAAGAGAAATAAGAAAAACAAACCTTCAAATTAATCTCCATCTTCATCTTCATCTTCATCATCCAACAAAGAGAAGAAGAGAAAAATTTAAAGTGGTGAAAAAATTATTTTATTAATTGTAACAAAAAGTTATAAATTTGGAAGGCCTTCTCAATTAAGAGTAGTCCTCCTCTCCAAAAAGAGTTACAAAAATTTTCACACCCTCAACCCCTCACTCTCTATCCCTATTTATAGTAAACAACAATGAATGAGAGCCCTTGGATGAAGACTTAAGCCCTAAGGAATTATTTTTAGCCTTTGAGCTTTTGGGCTTGAATTCTTGGGCCTTTTGCTTGTTTTCTTCATTAATTCACTGGGCTTTTGCTAAAAGAAGAGATCTTGAGCTTTATTCTTCATTAACCTTCAAATTCTTCCCATAATTACTTCTCCAGCACAGAAATTTAGATTGTGCTTCTTTGTACGAATATTTGTCTATGATATGTTTCGATTTCAGAGATGTCATAAATACAAAAGTTATAGATCTCGTTCTTATCTTTCTAGAGAATGTTTATTCAGCCAATTCTGAGTTGATACGAGAGAGATATGGCCAAAATACCAAACATTACTGAGATATCCAAATTGCATGATTTGTTTCCTTTTTCACAAAACTTCTTCATTTGTTCCTTGATGGTATATTTATTTTTCTTAGGTTTTTTGGCTTGGACTTTTGGACATTTTCTTGATATTTTGGGCTTTAATGTTTTATTAAATATTGAAAAAAATTATTTGGCTTCATGGGCTTCATTCTTTTGCTTTTGGCTTTGGGCTTTGGTCTTAAATCAACGAGCTTTTGTTGAGAGATGAGAGTTTGGGATTTATTCTTCATTAACCTGCAATTAAAAGATAAAAAATAATTATTAGTGGTATATTTATTCATAAAAAATAAATAACGAGGGTATAAAATTATAATAAAATTTGATTATCAAATACCCCCACACCTAAATTTTTGCTAGTCCTCTAGCAAAGAAAGAAAAAGAAAAAAAACCTAACTCACTTTCACAGGAATCGCGATTGTATTTAGCGCATACAACAAGCCTTTAAACCCCTAGGTTATCCTAGTGGATGAGTTGTAGTCTCGTGAGGGTTTACAGTGAATATACCCACAAAATTCGGTCTACTTACCAAATTAAAGAAGTCAGTAAATAACTAAATTTACTTGATAACTTTAGACAATCTAATTGAAGCTAGTTATCACTCAAGAAAACGTTTTTATAAATAACTTTAAGGTAAATTTCCTAGAAAATCTTCTCATTATAGCAATACAAAACCAAGCGAAACTTAGAAATTTAATTTAAAAGTTTTGAAAAGAACATGCTAACTCTTTGTTTAAAATAATATTCAAGTTGCTTGATCTAAAATATTTTCCAAGACCATATATACAAATATAACTATATATATAAAACATTTATTAGTATTTTTATTTTAATTTTATTTTTTTATATTATTATTATTAATTTTTTTAAATTCTTTCTTTCTAGGTGATTTTTTTCTATTTTAACGGGCTTTCTAAGCGACCATTTAATGAGTTTTAGGCCAATGGATCCCAACCCAATTGGGCTTAGGTCATTAAGTATGAAAATACTCATTAGGCTTAATTACTCTGTCAACTTAGCCTTTATAAGATAGAATCATCTTGAATTTAAGAGTTTTTTTCCTTTTTGTGCCCATTTTTCGCACTCTTCTTTTGTAATACTTTTTTTATATGTATATGTATATATATTCTGAAAAATATGTAAGTCAAGACACTTTAAAAAATTATTTTTAACTCTAAGCTAAACATGCATAAATTCTATTATTTTAAATAAAAATCTAAGTTAAGGCTTAAGTAAAGTATACTACTTTGAAAATCATTTCTTAAGAAATTTATTTAGAGTTATCATAAAAGGTAAACTTGAGTAAATAACAAACTAGAGATTAGAAAATTTAAAATTTATCAAATAAATCAATTATTACTAATTTATCAATTTGGCAAGTGACTATATTTTTATAATTTTTTTTAAGGAAAAGGAAAAAATGACAAAAATGCAACTAAAAATGTAAAATAAAGAGAAAAATAACTAATTCTCACCCCCACACCTAAATTTTGCATTGTCCTCAATGCAACTCTATGATGCACAAAGTAAAGCAGATAAGAAGTAAAGTACTTATATTTGATCAGCTAATAAAAATTTGCAATTACCTTTGGTCTGAGGAGGATAGAATCAAAAATTTATTATTCTCTTCTTTTTTTTTCTTTTTTTCTGTTTTTTTTTCTTTTTTTTCCTTTTTTTCTTTTTCTTTTTTACAACTGAACAAGAAACTCTCAAATGAGAGAATAATAAATTTTTTTTATTATTCTGAAATAAACAAACCAAATAATGTAGAATAAAGTGTTCAACACGAAGAGCTCGTATTCTACATTGAATCCTACCTTATTGTTGAAAATTCTTCCTCAGATTTTAAATAAATTCAGAATGATATAATCAATAATATGAAATTCCAAGCATTTCGGGGTGTTCGATAATTCTTATAACAAAGTAAGGTAGGTATTATTGGTGTCATGCATTTTGCATTTCTTAATGAACTTAGACTCTTGTACTGTGAAGTTTTTTTTTCTAACAACCAATTCTTCTGTAGAGTTCTGAAAATTTGGTTGTTGATTATTCTCCAAGAATCTAAGTTCATCAAGAAAGAGTTCTTCAAAATTTAATTCAAAGCAGCAAATGTTTAACATAGTTTTATTATTCTCAAGGACCTGATCTGCTTCTTCTAAAAACTCTAACTCTTCATCAAAAATTTCCTCAAAACTCACATCAGACTCTTCTTCTTCTGATCTTTCCTGAATGTAATTTATTTCTAGAGGCTGATTATTTGGCTGGTCCCCTTGATTAAAAATGTTAAGATCAGCAGATAAATTCCCAAAGGACAGCTTCATTTGACCAGTTCTACAGTTGATGAGAG